GAGAAGCAGACTCCCTGTTCAGCAAGGAGCCCGATGTGGGACTCGATCCCAAGACCCTGGGATCACGACCTGGGCCGAAGGCAGCCGCTCAACCGACTGAGCCACCCAGGCGTCCCCCTGTTATTGTTTTTATTCATCATACAGCTCCTGCCAAGGCAGAGAAAAATTAGGGATCTTAGAGGCCTGAGAGGTTGGGGTGGAAATGGGATTGACTTAGAATAGAATCCCTAGAGTATGGTATATCTCATCAAACTGAGAGTCCTATCAAGTTCAAGTCCAGGATGGATCCTACAAGTCACGTAGACCACTTCCCCGCATTCCCAGGGGCTCCAGTAAGAACGTATAGTTGCTAACAAGGGGCACCTGGGTGGCTCAGTCAGTTAAATGTCTGCCTTCAGCTCAGGTCATGATCTTGGGGTCCTGGGATAAAGCCCCACGTCCTCAGGCTCCCTGATCGGCGGGGGAGTCTGCCTCTCCCTTTTCCTCTGCCCCTCTCACTGCTCATGCATATACTCTCTCTCTCTCAAATAAATAAAATCTTAATATATATATAGTGCTAACAAATCTGGCTGGGCAGGTGAAGACTGTCCTCTTAGGCCTGCATGTGAATGTGGCAGGCCTTCTGGGATCCAGTCCCAGTACTGGTACCTCTTTGAGCTAGCTCAAGGGCCTCCCACCCATAATCCTCAGGACCTGGTGAAGTGTGTGGCCCTTCCTGATGTCCCAGGACAGAGCGAGACTTAAAGCAGGGAGTGAGGTTCCTGGTCTCACCCTCACTGTTCTCCAGGATGTTGGGGGCAAAGCCACCTTCATCTCCCACATTGGTGGCATCCTTGCCGTACTTGTCCTTGATGACCCCCTTGAGTGTGTGGTAGACCTCCGCCCCAAGTCGCATGGCATCCCGAAAGCTCTCAGCGCCCACTGGGAGGATCATAAATTCCTGCATGGCCAGCTTATTCCCAGCATGAGAGCCACCATTGATCACGTTGAAGGCCTGGGGGCCACAGGACAGAAAAGTCACAGAGCACTTCCCCCCTCCACCCCCAGGAGCGTTAACCCAAGAGCCCAAATCTGCCCCAGCTTCCCAGACTCAAAGTCTCCTGTCCCCATCCTTTCTCTGTAGCTGCCTCAATGCACTTTCCCCCCATCATTCCTCACAAGGTTTCATGCTCCCCACCCCCCACCCCTGGGAGAGGCCCAGGCAGGGCAGACAGGGCTCACCGGCACGGGCAGGATGAGGTCGGAGTTTCCGGCCAGCTGAGCAATGTGGCGATATAGAGGCAATTCCCTCTCGGCCGCCCCTGCCTTACACACGGCCAGGGACACACCCAGGATGGCATTGGCCCCAAACTTGGCTGGGAGATGATAGAGGAAGGCACTGAGCAAAAATTTCCCCCATCTGTTCGAGCCCTGGCCTCCACCTGTACTCCCCAAAAGGAGCCAGTAAAGGAGACCCCCTCCTCCCTCTCCACTCCTGCAGCACCTCATCAGTGCTCTCCTGAAAATAGCGGGGACACGCACGCACACACGCACGACATGATGGGAAAGGGCAGAGAGCTCCACTTATTTCTAAACATCCTGAGACCATAGACTATCTCTCTTGCCAGATCGCCCTCTTCGTGCTGCAAAGTTCTTCCTTCTGTCTATCTAATGTCACTCCCTCCCCTGCAGTTAAATTCATCTTCTCTTATTCTGGCTCTGGGAGGGGAACGGAAGATGGGCTAAGTCCCGACAGTCCTTCCTAAGGAAGCCCCCACAGCGCTCCATGCTGTCTGCTCCACGCGTCCTCCCCCTCCTGCCTCCCCACGTTCTCCCAGACCCGGCTTACATTTGTTCTCAGTCCCATCGAGCTCCAGCATCAGGTTGTCCAGCTTCTCCTGCTCCACCACAGAGAGACCCTGTGGGCAGAGGCGCCATCACCACAGGCGGAGGCTGGGCCCCAGGGCAGAGGGCCCCACCCAATTCCCACACAGGGTCCCCTCTGGCCAGGGTTCCTGGGAGAGCAGCCGGTCTGGATGAGGGGACCTGCACCCCATGGGAGCAGGGGGCAGTAAAGGAGTCTTCCCATCCTTCCCTTGGTAACCATGATTCCCAAGAGGTGGACCTTTCTCCCTTTGCTCCCTCCTCCCCTAATCCAGGATTCCTTCCAGGACCCTGGTCCTGCCCACCAGCACCCCTGCCCGCCCGCCCCCTCCCGGCCCCCAGCAAAGAGTGGGCCTCACTGAGCTGATGAGGGCAGGAGCGATGGTGGTGTTGATGTGGTCCACTGCCTTCAGGACACCTGGGGAGAGGCAGGGAGGCCAGACAGGGTGAGGGTGGAAGGCGCCAGAAGTGGGGGGCATGCAAGAAGGGGGCTGAGGACTGGTGTAAGGTATGAGTATAAAGCTGAGGGATGGGAGTGCCTGGAAAAGAGAAAGGGCCTCACCTTTGCCTAAGTAACGCTGTTTGTCCCCATCCCTCAGCTCCAGGGCCTCATAGATACCAGTGGAGGCTCCACTGGGCACCGCAGCCCGGAAAAGACCTGGAAGAGGAACATGAAATAAGGAGGGGCATAGAAGGATACTACAGGGCCAGGGATTCCTTCAGCCTTCCCGCTCCAAACTGCCTGCCACAACCAGTCCCATCCCCACACTGCTCTCTAACACACACACACACACACACACACACACACACACACACAGATGCCCAGGCAGTGGCCTCCTCATGCGCCCAGCTGAGGTCCCACATGCACAACGAGGAACCCACACACATGAAGCTACGCAGGCAGCACACACATGCACACATGCACGCAGGTGCACACACAGACGTGCAGAGGCACGGTGTAGCCCATACACTAAAATAGGACACAGAGATTGGCCTATCCTGGCTCCCCTGGACAAAGAGGACCCAACCCCCATAATCCAGGCTTGGAAGCCTGGCCCAGCACCCCATCCCCACTGGGAATGAAGGCAGCTGCCCCTCCCGGGCCAGGGGAAAGCCGGCCCGAGGGCTGTGGGAAGCCCCCTGCCCTGCTCGCTACCTTTGGCAGTGTGGAGATCCACCTCCACCGTGGGATTCCCACGGGAGTCCAGAATCTCCCGGGCCCAGATCTTCTCTATCGACATGATGGCTGAGATCTTGGGTGGAAGGGAAGGAAGGAGAAAGATAAGAGGTTTAGAGAGGCGGAGCCTGATCAGTGGGAGGGGCTAGAGGCTGGGAGCGATGGGAAAGAGGTTACTGCAGTGGGTGGGGGTTGGGGAGGAGGTGGCTGCAGTCCTGGCTTTAGAAGGGATCCCCCCCCACCCCACGGGGAGAGAAGGTCAATGCAGTGAGGAAGGGGAGGTCACTGCAGTGGGGGGAAGGGGAGGATCAAACGGTGAGAAGGGAGGACACCGCAGTGAGGAGGGAGGGGCACCGGCAGAGGTTGCGTCGCCCCCCCTCAGTAGCTCCGGCAGCTGACTGGTGGGGTTTCCCCAGATCTCAGAGTATAATGGCTCAGGCTTGCATTTCTCCTTGGAGCCAAGAAGAGGATGGGCTGTCTGGGCAGCTGGGGCCTCTCCTCCGGAGCCCCCATCCCACGCCAACTTAACACCCCAACCCCCACTCCAAGGTCCCAGTTCCTCTCCCAAACATACGTCCCTCCTCTTCCCAAGAGATGTACAGTAGAGAAGTCTGGGGCGAGGGTCCTGGGGAAGCCCTCAGTCCCTGGGGGTTGAGCGGGGAGGGAGAAGAGATCTGGGGGGAGAGGCAAGGCTGGGCTCATGCTCCCCGCCCCCCCCCCGCTCCTAGACAAATTCTCCCCTCCTCCCATCCCTCCCCCGTGCAGCCGCGGGAGGTAATGTAAAAGGAGAGAGGCAATGTGGGGGAGGAGTGGGAAAGAAGGGAGTCTAGAAGTCTAGGGATGCTGAGGAATGGGAAGAGAAGACATTTCCCCAGATGCAAAGCCAGGGGACGTGCCAGGATAAAAATGCACCGCTGGGGGAGACCCCGAACTTAACATCGACAGAACCCGAGGCGAAGAGGGGCGTGGGGAGAGGGTCAGGCAAGGGTAGAGAAAGGCGCAGTTAGAGAGAAACAGGTGCGGAGAGACCTGGCGCCCCAGTGAGGAGGGGGCGACAGCGAGAAACCGAGAGAAGCGGTCCCAGAAGGCCGGGGAGGGAGGGTGCCCGGGGGAGGTGCGGATGACGGAGCAGGTGCGCAGCGCCGGGGGGCGAGGGATGCGCGCAGGCCGGAGGAGAGGGCGGGGGGCGCGGCGGC